TTCCAACCTGTGAGTCCTCTTTCTTCTCATCTCAAAAAAAATAATTAAAACACTTAATAAATACGACGAGTATCGTGCGCCACGAGCCTTAAGCACGTAGGAAAAGATGAGCGGATGCATTTCTAACCTCATCTTAGGGTTAGAAATGCAATACACATCACAAACAAAGTCAATCCACTTCTTTAAAATCCTCGAACAAATGCAAACCATTTTATCCTTCAGGATTTTCCTGTCAAACCTTTTTTTCAAAAAGGGCATGTTACCCCCGTTCTACCGCAAATAGATATCGACCCTAACTGCTAGAACGTGAGCTTAACGTTGCTCATAAAAGACACCAACCAACCCATGGTAGGTCAAACTACGACTGCTCTGACTTCTTCATTCTCGTCCGAATGAGGATACGTAGGCACAAGACGGCAAAGTCTTGGCGAGCACAATCCCCCCAATCACCCGTAGTCCTCCGAACTACGTTGACTCTGATTTTCCCATTGCACGAGGGAATACGTAGGCATAAGATTGTGAGATCCTATCGAGCCTCCTTTGGTTTTTTCTCCTGTAGTTTCCGTTAGCAAGTAGAACTTTAGATAAACACACCCTTTAATTAGATAACAAACGTGGATTCCATTGAGTACAACAGACGCGAGGGGTGCTAATACCTTCCTCTCACGTAATCGACTCCCGAACCTAGGATTTGGTTGCGAGACCATGTATTCTCCCTTTTGAGGTTTCTTCCATCGTTTCCTTTCCCCCTTCGGGATAAATAATGTTCGGCGGCGACTCTGTTTTTCTGCCGGTTGTTTTTCGTGTTGCGACAAATGGTTATTATGAAAATGTAGGGTTTTGGGGAAGGATTCGAAACTGATTTTCGTACTGCTGCATAGCAGAAAACTACTTTTGTCGCAGTAGCAACCGGTTATCACTTTTGGTGTAATCGGTTATACCTGAGACATCTTTCCTAAAAAGTGATTTTTTTCATAGGTGTAGCCAGTTACTGGTTTTTGTGTAACTGGTTACACTATCAAAAAGTAGCGTATGTTGGACAATTTTAAAGGGTATAAGCGGTTACTGGATTTGGTATAATCAGTTACACTAAGATGGGTTAGCCACTGTTTTTGGTCAAGTGGTAACCGATTACACCTATTGTGTCAAATTTGAAAATTCATAACTTGAGTTTCGGGTGTCCGTTTGAGATGTCGTTTGAAGCGTTAGGAAGCTGACGTAATGAAATTTATTTTAAAAATAGTTTTTATACCTGGAAATGATTTTAAATGGTGCGTAATGGTGTTAGATGGTATGCGATGTGTATGTTACGGTGTGGCAATGTGTGTTAATGGTGTGTTTTTATTTGTTATACTACTATAACGCTATTGTGAAATGCTTGTACTGTATGTTTGGTGATTAGTGGCCAGGTTTGATGTTGCATAATGATTAAGCTGGATATCACTATACATGTTACTTTTTTTATTATTACATGTCTTTTATAAATCATGCATTCATGGTGTTTGAACGGTGACCCATTTTTTGTAAGCCTCAATCCTATGGTGGAGATTGGGTGCAAGAAACTGGTTTCAGGTGGGAATCAGTGAAGCGTTTCTTATGGTGATGATAATGATTTTTAGAGGGACCTGATCCTATGGTGGGGATCGGAGCGAGTGAACCTGAGAGTTCACATTTGATACCACATGCATTGAGTCATGAAGTTGAGTCTCATTGCATCGCATACATGTTGTATTATTATTTATGGATTGTGTGGATTATGAGTTGTTGGATGGGTGATTATGCATATTTTGATGGTGTGTTTACATATTACGCATTTCTTTATATGATTGTGATTTTTCATCCCTTCTGCTTGAATGTTGCCTTTACATGGGCATCATGCATATAATCCGCAGTAGAGGCGTGGATGTGAGTGAAAGAGAGTATTCTTCGTTATGCTTTTGTTGAGTCGGCGTCTACTTTGATATATAACAATGGGGTTGAAACACTTATTTGTTTTAATTTATGTTTGGTGGAGATTTCATGTTATTTTCTTAATTTTAACAAATTATTATGATTTTTGTTTGTTATGGCTATGTTTGGTATGATTATGTTTGAATAGTGAAATAATCAGTTGTTGATATTTTTCCGCTGCTAAAATAATATTGGAGTTCATACACATTTATTATTATCATTATTTTTAAATTTTCATTATGTGTTACATATCCAATTGCATGAGCCGGTAGAAGTAGAAGTAACATCCTAATTGTTTTGACTTTTAATTTACTTTGATTTTTAATTAAAATTACATAGAGAAAATTAGGGTGTTACACTTAAGGTGAGATACTTTAACGAATCCCTTGCCCATAAGCAAGTGTTGTCATTGGCAGAAGTGGTCACCAGAGTCAAGTGCTACATAAAAGGCGAGGAAAGTAAATCCAAAAAGAAGGCATGCCACGTGAAGGAGCGTGTTCCCAACATCAAGAGCTTGCAACATCAAAGGAAGAGAAACTATACCTCGTCCATAAAGGAAAAGTCAGTGTTCGAAAGGGTAAGTAAGGCAACAGAGAGCCTCGCACCTTTGAACATTCGCCGCGAGCAAATCTGGCGTGAGGTACTCCACATGCACAACATCTACACCGCCTGTTCCTAAGGAGGACGTTATGGGTTATGAACCAGAAAGATGATGCAATTTCCACAAGGTAAATGGATAACATATTGAGGACTGCTATCAACTTAAGAAGGAAATCGAGAAACTGATACAGGAGGGACGCCTCAAGAAATATATGAAGGGTGACTCATCTTATATGTCAGACAAGACTGGCTTGTGTGGCCGAGACGATGGAAGAAGTCCTGGGCCCAACAAAGAAAAAGAGTCACATCCGTGCAAGGACAACAAAGCCACACATTACACGCTCAACACTATAGCAAGGGGTTCGCCGGAGGTGGCAAAGCTAGCTCTGCCAGGAAAAGCTACGATCGCCAGATCCTGAGCATGGAAAACCTTCCTGAAGTCAAGATTGAAAGTGAGCTCTAAACGCTGGAAGTCGTGATTACCTTCTTAGAGAAAGATACAACTGACACCCAACCTCACAACGATGATCCCATGGTTATTATCCTCAAATGTGAAGATTGAAAAATTAAAAGGGTTCTCGTCAACCATGGGATGCTCTTTCTTGAACACCTTATTGATAGAAGATACTTATTACCCTTCAGGGCAAAACCTCATTTCTGGACTTCATAAAGAAGATCTTAGTCGACCCTCAAGGCAACACCTCACTGCTAGACTTCATAGCAAAGATCCTTGCCGCCTCTCAGGGTAACACCTCATTGTTGGACTTAATAGCAAAGATACTTGTTGTCCCTCAGGGAAACATCTTATTGTTGGAATTCATAGAGAAGATCCTTTTAGCCCTCTTAGAGCAATATTTCACCGCCAGACTCCATAGTAAGGATCCTGGCCGAAACTTGTTGAACATATCAATCTTGACCTCAATATTTTCAAGATCAAGAATCAACTTGTTGAACATATCAAGCTGCTCATCCAAAACTTTCTCTTCACTCATCTTGAATGAATTTAAAATTTGCTTCAGGTAGAGGCGATTGACTAAAGATTTGATCATATACAAACCCTCGAGTTCGCTCCACACACTGGTTGTCGTCTTTTCCTTCGAGACATGTCGAAGAACCTTATCACCAAGGCTTAATATGATGACATTGTGGGTTTTCTTGATCATCGTCGTCTTCTCCGTTAGAGAAACATCCATCTTCTTGGATCCTTTCAATGCTTCTAACAAACCATGTTGAACCAGTAGTGCTTGAATCTTTAAGCGCCACAAACCAAAATCATTCACACCAGTGAACTTCTCAATCTCTTACTTTGTTGACGACATCTTCTTCTCTATGCTTACCGCACCAATTTGTTGTGAAACGATGCCCAACAAAATAGAGTATGATCTGATTTCTTAATTATCAAGAAAACTACAAAGAAAAAGAAAAGAGAAAAAAAAAATTCAAAGTGGTTAAAAAAACTGGATTCTTGATTCAATTACATATTAGGAAACAATGTTTACAATTGAATCTCAACCACACAACTTTCTCCCTCTTATTAAGATTATCGAAAATTTATAAAAAAATGAGAACTAATATGCTATTTATAAGAAAACTAAACTCTGATTTCCAACTAACTAAACACCTAGCTCATTAGATTGGCTCAATTCAACATGTTAACTTAAACAACAAGCTAACATATTTCTGCATGCAAAAACAAATTTTGATTATAGCATACATATCTTCAACTACTATCGAACCATGAAGCTAGCCTTGCCGAAGCTAAAATTCGATCGAAAATACCACAAAATCACATTATTTTATTTTAATTTCAAAATGACTATTTTCTAATTTATTTACATTCATGTATATAGTGTATAATTAAAACTCATAGTTTATATTTCAAAATCACATTATTTTATTTTAATTTCAAAATGACTATTTTCTAATTTATTTACATTCACGTATATAGTGTATAATTAAAACTCATAGTTTATATTTCCTCATTAGTTAATTTTAATATATAAATTCTTAACACACAGAGTAGTTTGAAATTTTCAAACTTCAATTTATTGTATGAATATTATTTACATACATGAGAAAATCATAAGAACAAAAGTTCAGAAGGTTCACTACCAAAAGTTCATGCAAGGACAAAGTGTCCTATTACTTTTTTCCTACTGACATCCAGTGAGTGAAACAGGGTGAGAGATCATATTGAATTGGCTCAATCCTACACAGATAAAGAATAAGAATACAGGGTGAAACTTCCTGAGATAGCGAATAACAAAATTTTGCATACTTGATCAATCATGATCCTCTCTCTCCCCCTTAATTTCTCAACAAATAGATAAAGAATGTGAAAGAGAAATGAATCGGCGGCTGGTCTTGTACAGTTGTGCCCAACTATCAGCACAATCAAATGTGTGTGGTATTTCCACAGTTGACATGCAATTGAATTATGAGTTGTTTTTCTATTCTTTACTCTTATTCTTATGCCAGAATGAATATAGTTGAATTAGCTGAGCCCTTAAGCTAGACTCCTCCACCTGAAAATGCAGCATTGTCCAGATTAATATGAACTGTTGGAGTGGAGATAAACAATTTTTTTCTACGATAACAATGGAAGGGTCGTGTGCAAGGCAAACCTGTGACTTATGTGTCTTTGACAATAAACCTCCACACTCGTCAATAAGAGCTCTTTCTCCTCCAACAACTCGGGCCAATTCTGAAATAGAAGTATCTATTTCTTCTGCCTAGTGTTTGAAAAACATTATTCAATGCAATACCGAAAAAGCAAATCTAAAATGTTCAAGTTCATTATAATCCAATTCAAATTCATAACAGTTTAAATGTATGCAATACTGAGTTGATGGTTTGAAGTAAAGTAAGTGCATTTCTAAGCAATTCTTTAGATACATTCTTTCATTTGTCTTTACCTTTGGCATTAATTTTTGGGTATTGGAAATAATTGTTTCCATCATCTTTAGTGCTGAATTCAGAGACTCCCCCACCTCTTTTACATCAACCTGTGACATTATACATTTTTGTGAATTAGTAATTGCAGATTATCCAAATGAATAAGCATGGAAGAAAGAGAATAGTGCTAGTTGGATTTTTAATCATACCCGAACATTCCCACCAGTTGGAAGTTGTACTGAGGCATTCAACAAAGCCTGGATTGCTTCAGTGATGGAAACGGAAAAATCTTCTTCCAAAGCAGACCACTCATCTAGATATGGAGTCTGTAATTGCATCCATAAAAATATACAAATTTATTACTGATGCATATGTTTTCTCGGCATTTAGAAATATAAATATAATTGATGGCAAAGAAACCGGCGTTTTCTTGATTCCACCTCAAGATATATTAGTTGCAAGAGATGGTTATATTAAAAAAAAGGGTAACATAGACTTAACCATTCATGCCATAAAAAGTCATCTAGCAATAAAAAAATTGTATCACAGTCGGATGCGAGAAGGAAGTATTGCTTATGTGGACAAAAAATATAAAAAGAAACATTCAAATTCATTGGCCTTACTTGAGCTTCAAGAACTATTGATAGGGTCTGTAATCTCCGCAAACGCTCCAATTCTATGCGTTTCTTGTTGACAGAATCACGCATTTCTGATATTTTCATTGCACGAGATAATAGTGCTTTCTGCAAGGATAAAGAAGAATAGAAACAAAAAAGTGAGAGAAGAGCATAAGGTGGCAAAATTGTACAGCATAGCCCAATATTTTAAACTATAACAGAACTGAATTAAAGTGGATGTAAATGTCCAAAAGAAAGTTCTGAATAACAAAAGTGCAATAACACACGTGAACCTAAGTCTTGTACTTACCTAAAAAAACACAAACTTTAATGAAGCGTATTTGAAATAAACTAGATTACAATGACCAATATAAATTACAATGTGCAAAAGAACACAAACTTTAATGAAGCGTATTTGAAACTAGATTACAATGACCAATATAAATTACAATGTCATGTGATGTGGTAGCCATTACACTCGAGTCAAAACTAAATATATTTTGGCTTAGAACTGTTCTTGAGCGGGGATAGAGATTTCTCCCTTTTTTCCATTATTTTTCTGTTGTAATTGATCTCATTATGCATCTTTCAATTAATGTGTTTATCACAAGGTCCAACTATCCAATAAAGTAAGATAAAAGGTCAATAACAATATCTTTCAAAGATACAATCGATGTCATTTTAGCATTTTATCCATGTTACTTATACATGGTAATAGAGATCCCCTTTTTGATTATAAATCATGACCTGCCCTCCCTAAATTTCTCTTGTTCTAACAAGAGTATATAAGTAAGACTAAGAACTGCTGCATGGCCAGGCAATTGTCATTCCCTGACCAGAACAATTTAGAAAATGGATACAACCTCAAATTTAAATTATACAAATCCTTTGTTCTAATCAATGTCATTTCTGCATTTTATCCAAATTACTTATACAATGTAATAGCCAACAAAGACACAGCCACACAATTCAGTATCCACATAAAATAGACTAAGTAATACTACTACTAAACACTTGTAACTTAACCGGTAAACAAAATGTAGGCAACAGACCTCGCATTCTTTTTGCTGAACTTTGTTTGCGTTTTCAGCTTTTGCATTGGCAAATCTCCATTGCAAATAACGATTATGAAGCAACTTGAGAGAAGTCACATCATCCTGTTGACTACCTTTCTTCCCTTTCCTTGAATCGGCTGCAGATTTCGCAAACTGAGGAGGAACTGGAGGCAGCCCTCCAACCTTAACCCGATCAACGCCAGAAGAAGACAAACTAACCGAACGAGACAAATTGTTACCGAACTTTTCAGCTACGGATCCCGTAGGCACCTTAGGTTGCTGCACCAAAACATCCCCGGTTTCAGGACGCAATTCAGGAAGTGATTGTGTACTGCAATGAATATCAATATCATCACGTGAACTTCTGGATGATGACATGGCAGTAGATTGAAGCAATTTTGAAGCAGCTGAAGAACGGGCATTGATAGACCTATGATGTTGTTGGTGTGGTGTTTGCCTGTATCTTGAAGAGATAGACATAGTATGGGTTGGAGTATCAGGTCGAGAAGGACAAGGTGTGGCGATTCTTGAAGGTGGTTGTTTTGAAGGGTGATGAGAACTGGAACTAGGGTTCGGGATATTATCGAAAACCCTATTTGTTGTCTCTTTGAAAAGCTTCACAGTTCTTTGTTGTTGTAGCTTTTTCTGAAAAGAATATCCGATCGGGAACGAGGATTCAGAATTCTCGTCGTCGGAATCATCTCGCTGTTGCCGTCTTTGAGTGGAGGGGATAGACGGAGACATGAATCTGGAGCTGACTTCACGGGTTCTTGGTCGGCGGTTATGTTGTTGTTGTTGTGGCGGCGGTGGCGGTGGCAGAGGGGGAGAAGGGTTATCGGAAACGTCGACTTTGTTGTTTTCTTGCATTGTGTGGTTGTAGAAAGTTGCAGTTGAAGTTGAGACAGAGAATTTGAGTAACAGAGAAAGAAGGAGGAAGAAGAAGAAAAAATGGCCGTTGGGGTTTGGGGAAACGATGTTAGTGATATGTTTGGTGCGTGGGTTTACTTTGCAACGGTTCTAATTTCGAAAATCGATAAAAACAAACGGGATTTTTTTAGTTTCTTTATGTTACATTGTTATTATTACACTGCGCTCTCGTCACATCGAATGCATGACAAATAAATAAGGGAATTACTAATGGAAAAGCACTCTTATACAAATCAATAATTGTCTTTTAGCTGCCAAAGATATATATATAGGGGACTTATCTTTTGTCTCACTAAATTATGTCATAAGTGTTATCTCATTTTAAAATAAAAGTTTTATTTTTGAGATTAATCTTTGAACAAATTCAATCAATTTATTGATTATTTAATATTTTAGTGGAGTTTTCGAAAATACATTTATGTAATTTTGAAATAAGAAATTAAAAACATGTCATTTTTGCATATTAGACATATTCGAAGGTTCATTTTTAAAAATGTTAAATGTGATTTTTAATAAAACAACCACTGCATGATCAAATTCTGATTTTATCGGTTGATCAGAATTTGAGGTGGGACAAAGACAATCGTCTGTGATACTGAGTGTGAAAGACGAGGAGTGGGTGTACCTGCAAGGCACTCCGATGCTAAAGTAAGAATAAGGCAGGAGAGAGAGCAAATACAAAGTATAAGTATATCAGAGTGAATATTGGATACCTGACCTTCTCATTCGAGAGGGTTTTTATAGTATCCTTAGCGTTTGGCCATTGGTCCCTATTTTCGGGGAGAGATAACTGTTTTCCGATGAATAAGTAACTGACAGAACTAGCCGTTGTAACGGGCAGACATGCCCATAACTAGCCATTGCTACGGGCAGGGGTGTAGTTACGGGCACATGCGTCTTGACTGTTTCTGGATGGTGGAACCGTGCGTGACAGACAAAGACTGGCGAGGAGAAGTGTTGTGACCAAGGGTAAATTGGCCAGCCTCCTTTGTTGGAGGAGCAGAAAGGTAAATTCTCCCACAAAGTGGTTGGACTTAGGCAATTGGGTCGTTCTGGGAGCAGAAGTGGATTGGGTCATGTCCTGTCAATTGACCAGCCCGGAACAGTAGCCCTCCAAGTCATTGCTACCGAGCTTGGTAGTGATGACTTAAGGACAATTCGCTTATCGGGCAAAGTTGTCGTACGCTACCTTGTGCCCGAAAGAATCTGTGCTCGGGCATCTGAAACGTTGCTTGTCGGGGAGCTCTATGAGGGCAGTCCTCATAAGTAGCTACACTTGTTTTAATGATGTTAAAACTTAGATAGGTAGAAAAATGTATTTTGGACGGTATCATTGTGTCACATATGCATACCTTATCCCTCTTGAATCAAACATCGGCCAGAAACATTGTTTGATACATATAGAAATTGTTTAATATATGATTCATATAGGTTATGTCAAGTTTGTCTAGCTTACTATGTGATAGAGTACCTCAAAAGTTGCATGATACATGAAAATATGCATTTTTGCATATTTTGGATCTTTGAGTCGACTCAAACTTGTTACGGTCGACTCATACAAAAAGCATTTTGAATGGTCTACTCTCAGGAGTGCTTGCGTCGACCCTCCGGTCGACTCATACTGTGTCCATTTCTATTTGTCTAATTCTGCATGCTTTGCGTCGATGCATGACCTGCTCCGGTCGACACAAAGTTCTATTTTTTGCACAATCTGAATTTCGGGTAAGCTCAGGTCGACCCTCTTTTCTGCATAGGTCGACCGCTCACGCGTTTTCAGTTAAAGTTCTGTTATGTGAAACTGTCTTTGTGGTTGTTATGTTGGTTAATTGTTTTTGACTTGCATATATAGTGAGTTTTGCTCTATCAATAACAAGAAAAGTGAAAATAGATATTGATTGTTCTCATCATCTTCATCCTCTTCCTTGCATTTTCTCAACAACTACACATAATTATTTTTGTTGTGCATTATGCTTGTTAGAGGTGATAACGCCCAAACATAGGATTGGTGTAATCGGGTTTGGATTGAGAAATCAGTAGGTTTTTCTTGAATAAAATCGTTAGGGTTTTATCCTCCAAGAATCTTGGATTTTAGGGTTTTTGCACGAATCGGTCCATCACAGATTCAACCGCGTGAAGGTAATCGAAGAACGGGTTGTTCTGTCGGTTTAGTAGCGGTAAATAGAGGATTGTGAAAGGAAGATTCGAGTTCAAAGCGTTGGTGATTGAAATCAGCCGGGAAAGATTTGAAGACCGTGGGGTTGTTCAAAGGGTGTGCCGTAATAGAAGGTTTATTCATCACGTTCGAAGGACTTGATTCAACCTGAATTAAGGAAAGAGAAGGAATAGACTCTGCATCAACAATTGTGTTTGATCATTTGATTTCTATTGCTTATATTGTAAACATTTACCAACATGTTATATCTATATACAGGTCTCAATTTTATTTTTAGAATTGAGGGCAGACGTACCCCGAGCGAGGACGGCGGGGGAACTACCTCAACAAATTGGTATTCTCTCTTTACTTTTCAATTGCTTAATTTCTGAGTTTATGTGAAAACAATTGAGTTAATCAAAATTCTGATGTGAGTAGTGCTGAACCATTTGTGAAGCCTATTACAATCCTTGATTGTAATTGAACACTTAAGCACTTCACTCTCATATTGAACGCTTGTGCTATCTTTTCAATTTGATTATATTTTTTAAGCATTGAAAATAGTCAAACCTTATAGTGAATAAATTCTGGTTGATGTGTGTTCAAATTAGTGATTCTTAGATCTCGTTTTTATCGGATTCCATAGGTTTTGCGCATATCCGGTTTTTTAGGTAAAGGTCTGTTTTAGACGAATATAGCTCCTCGACCGCTTCCTCATAAAAACTTTTTAAAACCAAATATTGGTAGCGCCGACTATGTTTTTAACAATTGATCTATTCAACCCCCCTTCTAGATCTGCGCCATCGTCTAACAAGTGGTATCAAGAGCACCGATTCATTATGTGCTTCACATATAACTTCTTAGAAAATGGCTAACGAACCAAAAAGAGCTTATAATAGAGCACCTGTTTTCAATGGTGAAAACTATAGTTACTGGAAAGACTGTATGCGTGTGCACATAAATTCCATTGACAGGAAGATATGGAATGTTATTTTGAACGGTCCTATGGAAATAATCCTGACCGATGAAAATAACATGATTGTGCCTAAGCCTGAAGTACAATGGAATGATGAAGACGAGAAAAAGTACAATTACGATTGAAAGGCTAAAAATATTTTGATCTCCTCCTTGGGAGTTGATGAATACTATAGAGTTTCTCATTGTTTGACTGCTAAGGCTATGTGGGACTCATTACAAGTTGCCCATGAGGGAACAAATGATGTCAAACTAGCTAGAATCAATACTTTGACACAAGAGTTTGATCTCTTTCACATGGAGCAAGGGGAAACCATTGCTGAGATGCAAAAGAGATTTTCTCACCTAATCAATAGACTAAATTCACTTGGTAGACCAGTTTCCAATGATGTTGATACTAACAAAGTCTTATCATGTCTTACCAGGGAATGGCAACCAAAAGTCACCACCATAAAGTAAGCAAATGATCTTATGACCTTGGACCTTACAACATTCTTTGGAAAGCTTCAAGAACACGAGCAAGTACTTCTTAGTCTCGAGCAATTTGAGAAAAGGGAAAAGAAAGAGAAGGCCAAAAATGCGCAAAATAAGTCTATAGCTCTAAAGGCTTCTTGTTCAAAGTCCTATACAAAAGAGTTGAGTGATTGTGATTCGAGTGATAACGAAGATGACGAAAATAATGAGGATATTAGGCTGTTTGTAAAGCGATACAATCGATATGTAAAGAAAAATGGTATCTAACATTCCGAAAATAATCTAGTCAATTTTAGAAAACAATCAAGATTTTCTAATAATGAAGACAACAAAGGAAGTAGAGTTAGAGGGTCGTGCTTCAATTGTGGAAAAGTCGGGCATTACAAGCCGGATTGTCCTTTGATGAAAAAGGACAAAGGAAAGGAGAGTAATCGGTCACATAAGAAGCAATTTAAGCCTAGAAGAGATTACATCACATGGAAAAACGATAGTGAGTCATCCGAGGATGATAGTTCTAGTGAAGAAGAAGAATCCGTCAACCTTTGTCTCTCTGCTCATCAAAAAAAAAAATGGTACGACATGCAAAATATGAAAACTCTACTAGATTGTCTCATTCCGAATTACAAACTGCCTTTGATACCTTACACAATGAAGCCAAGGAAGCTTTTAAACGGCTAGCCTCAAACAAACAAATTTTTGCTCACTTAGAGCAAAAGATTCTCGATTCCAAAAAGAAATTAGAGGCTCTAAAGGCTTCCATAGTGGAAGGAACAAAGGTGGATTATGAGGAAGTAAGAAAAAGATTGGTTAACTTTGGGTGTGATACTTGTTATATTTGGCAAAATGAGGTTAGAAATCTCAAGGCCAAACTTAACAAGGCTCTAGAACCCAAAATCACGTTCGCTATTGATAGAGCACATTTTAGAAAAAGTATGGTTAATCCTTATCAAAAATATACATATGTGGTCAGAAATCAAGATAGTAAAAGTGATACAAGAGTTAACTTTACTTGCTTGTATTGTTGCAAGAAGGGCCACACCATTGCTAAATGTCGCTTTAGAAGATTTTTAGTTCCTAAAGGGGTTTATCATTGGTTGCCTAAATGAAACCAAGATTTCACTCACAACCAAGGACCCAATAAACAATTGGGTACCTATTTTCGTTGATTATTTTTATAGGTACAAAGTCTTGAGACTACAGAGAGAAGATGGGTTCTCGACAGTGGATGCTCAAGACATATGATAGAAGACATATCTCTCTTCATTGACTTTGTGGCAAAGAAGAAGGAAATTGTAACCTATGTAGACAACAACAAGGGAGCAATGCTTGGAAAAGATAG